TAAATTTCAAAATGTTTTTATTTTTATTATCACAATCATCATTATGACAATGCTTTGATGAGCCTCGCAAGCAGTTGTGAAAATCTCATTTACTTACCCCAAAACCGCAGACGTGTGTTGTTCATGAAACAAATGGTACTCAAGTATTGCAAAAAAAGAGTGTTTTGTGACTGAATTTTGATATTTACGATGCTGACCATGCTGGTAACGATTCAGTCTACATTTCACATTTGTAAGATCTTCAGTAATTTAAGTTAAAAGTTGTGCAAAAAAGTGGTTTGATGCCATTTTTATGGAAAACTTTTTTCCCATTTAAATCTCGTCAGTTCCAACCAACTTTCTGCTTTTTTAATTTTCTTTCTTCATGAAACCTGTAATGTCGACTTGAATCTTTCAACAGCAGCCCAGCACTTGTTAATGCATAAGCGATGTGTTAAGTAAACATAAATATTGCAAATTTACGTCTTTCTCTCTCACTCTAGTGCTGTTTGAAAAGTGAAACTTTACTTTGACTTTTAATTCTCTTACAAAAATATAATAAAATGTTTTAAAAAAATTAAACATGAATTATTTCGTGAAATTGAATAATATTAAGTTACTAAGATAAGAGTGCCTTGAAATATTTTGAAAAAACTAGTCATCGAGTGAAAATATTGTGTTTTGTGAGGTTCCAAAAAGGTAAAATTGTTCGATGAACAAGATTTTGAGCAAACCAAAGTGACTCTAGAGAGTGGAAATGGCAATTATGTGGTTGATAGTGACGACAGATACAAGATTGAGCTATAAAAAGCTTCAATTTTTTCAAATAATCATTAAAATTGACCCTTTAAGTATCTGTAGCCAACATATTTGCGTATCAAATTGCTCCTTATCTACATAAAGATTCTGTCTACATAAAGATTCGATGTAGATGTCTATAATTCTACATTCTTCTCTGATGTAGACCTGGAAAAAATGTAGAATTGTAGACATCTACATCGAATCTTTATGTAGACAGAATCTTTATGTAGAAATAATCTTTGTGTAGATTAGATTTTCTATCTTCATGTAGAATCGATCTTTATGAAGAAAGTTTCTCAGCTAGACGAAAACTATTGAAGAATCTACATTCTTCATCTAGTGTAGACATCTACATTTGCAACACTGATCAAAACTTAATGCTATCAAACTTCCAACACCTTTCATAAAAATCAGCAAATTGTATTTATAAATTCAAGTTCAAAGCCTTATCCACAAGCAAAAAACCTCTAAACGTCCATAAAATATTCAGCAACATAAAAAAAAGTTATGCATTCACATTAAATAAATGCATACATTAACCAATACAGAGTTAAATATTGAAAGTGAAATTGGTCTTACGGCTCGTTAACACAACGAGTAGCAGTACGATATAAAAAATTTATTTATGTTGTGTATGAGTAAGCACTAATTGCTGTATACAATATGTGAAGTTCATTGAAATTTTGTAATGCGAAAATTATTGATCTATGGAAATAATGGAAGGATAAATTTGTTTTGAAGATTTGGGGACTGACGTGGGTTAGGGTCCATCAATCGGTGAAATGGCATCAGTGACCTAAATGGTAGAGCGTTGGCCTTACATGCCAAAGGTCCTGGGTTCAATCCCAGGCCATGTCTAATTTTCGTAGCTCTTTTTCCATTTCACCGTTCTAGTTACGAAGCTTGGTTCGTGTGTTGGGTGTAGTATTGATGTCTTTGGCATAGAATATGCCTCCTTTGCAGGTATACAAGGATATACTAGCATCTGGATGACTTCCTTACGGCATCTTGCGCACACGGATTGTGACTAGGTACATTGCAGGGTACATCAGGTCTTATGACGTACTCGTGTCTTTGCAATGTACAGAGCTTGCAAGTGGTTCGGATCCCACTATAAACTGTAGGTCTAAAGGGTGTGCTACAATAGATTCTGTTCTAATTTGAATCGCAGTGCCTCCAGCTGAAAGGCTGGGCCCTTCACACATTATATAGGGTCCATCAAAAAAACGTTCCTAGTGACAATAATGACTGATTAGCTATGTTCATGCTGCTTTAAGCATCCAATTCATTTAAACCTACTTATATCCATTCATTGCTACATTTATGATGAGGAGGAAGGGGGCTGATCCTCAAAACCAAATTAAATACACTACAAGACACAACTTAATAGTTGAACCATACTACGGACATTTCAGAGTCCGAAAAAAGTCGAGATGTTCGAAATTAGTTGATCTAGCGTTTAAAAATTGTAAAACTGTTATAAATTTGTCAATTTTGGGATTTTAAGGATAAATATTTAAGTTCTAGTAATTTTCGTGGATGATTTTAATAAAACTCAGCAAAACAAGAAGCTAAGAAAAAGAATCGTTTGCAGAAACATTGTTTTTGCCAGTTTCTGCAAGAAATATTAACGAAAATTTAAAGGTTTTTTGATTTTCAAACCAAAAAAATAACTTTTTCCGACGTGTCCGTAGCATGAGTTGACCATTAAAAATTCATTAATGATAATTTTATACCCATGAATAAATTGATAAATCATAGCTTAAATATAGAAATTTTACGGATAAATTGGAACCACATATCAAAAGACTATCACTAATAATCCAAACATAATAAACTGTTGATAATCGAATTATAGATGGTGCCATTTATGCAATAGTCGCGGAAGTATATGGAAATCATATGATGATGATAATTCGATTTATTGCTGTTACTTAACTGAGAAATTTTTTGAAAAAATTCACGAATTTCCAATTAAGATTAATTATGAAATGATGATCCGTGATGATATGGCTTGTCTGCTGTTGGGTTGGGGGATAATATGAGTCATTGTGTTCGATTTTAGCGATTTTCTTGGAAGGACGATTCATTAAAAAAGTTTATGAAAAAGTATCGAATTTTCTGTCTGTTGTTAAGTTTGTTGGACCGATGGTAATAAACTAGTGGATTTTTAGTAAACTTTAAGTGATTTTGGATTTTCAATACTAAAGCACTTATGGCTTCCTATACAACCAATTACCTCAATACCAATTAAATTCTAAAGTTTTATGATTTCTAATTTAAAATTCACAAAATGATCTCATTCGCCGTCTTTTTGAGTCTGTTTAGATAACAAACTTTTAGACTTAAATTATTTCACCTCCTTTTTGCTTCTCAAAAGTAAATTTTTAAAATTATAATTTTTTTGGGCGTTTAAAACAAAAATAATAAATATTATTTTTGATGAAAATTCGCAAAATTTTTAAACAATAATTTACGTCAGCATGACATCAATGAATCTGGCCCACTGCTTTACATTTGCTGGAAATTTGTTATTGCTAAGTACTTTTTTGGTAAACAAAATTTGTTTATGATAGAATCAAGATAAACAAAGTTAATGAAATTTTTGAATATTTATGTTGAACCTTTGACCTGGTTTCTAGAAATAATCGTAAAGGCTCAATTTACAAAAGTTGATCTTTTGCTTTGAGGATTTTAAAATGAAGAATTTCGCTTTTCTTCCTTCAGATTAATTTCATCAGGACATGTAGAAAAGTTCCTAGTCGGATTTGAACTTTGAGATAAACTTTTTTAACCAAACTGAATCAAATTGAAGTTTGAAAGAAAATCTCGGAGATCTTACAATAATGATAACCAACTTTTTGGGAATGAAAGAAGTCTGACAATTTGCTACACTCAATAAAAAATTTATTTGGAGTTTTAAAAGAATTAAATTTAAACGATGAAATTTGAACTACACTAGCTATGTTATACTGAATACTATTAAAAAAGAACATTGTAAGTAAGAAATCAATTTATGAAAGGTTTTTTATGCGTACTGAAAAGTTTAAATACTTCTTTAGAGTGCTTTTTCCTTTATACATAATTGAAAGCAAAAAGAAAAGTAAATAATATAATTAATACGGACCATATCAAAAATAACCCTAGTAACCAAAAGGTAGATCAATGTATTCCATGAGAATCTTCTATGGATGATACATATGTATTATCCATGTATTATCCATCGGAAGATGATGTCCTATGAAAATGGAAGATAAATGGACAATGCAATAAGACATCAATGTAATACATCAAAGGAATACAAATGGAAAACAAATGGATTACTTTTTTTTGAATAAAACACGTGTTAAATTCCACGTGTTCTTTTGTATTTTTCATTTATTTGTGTAATTTTTTGTAAAAGTATTAGTGTGTACTTAATTAAAGTACACTAACACTACGAAAAAGAACAAAAGGACTTAATTTAATTAAGTCGCATACTGATGAACGACCAAGACTCGCACATAAACCTGAGGAAGATAAATAATTAATTGAAAGCCCCATACAAATTTAGAGAGAACTTATAATAGTGATTTCTTCGAGCAATTGTGAAGTATATGGCAAATGCCAAATTTAGAACAAATATTATTTTCCTGCAAAAAAATATTTTTTTGATGATATTTTATAGGATTTGATCCTAAGCAGGCTCGGGTAATACTTCGATGGAACACTTCTGTTACATATTTGTAAAACAAATATTTTCCATATAATAAATAATGATACATTTGATCTTCCATCGACGTCGAAGGAAGATTATATGGAACATTTTGGTTACTAGGGAATAATAATAATAATATTAATAATATAAAATTTATTTGAATATTTTAAGCAGTGATAAAATCTACAAAAATCACTATTTGACTCTTATTTAACAAATTTCACGTGTAATCAAGAAAAGATTAATTAAATCCTTAATTTTGTTGCTTTTGCTTCTTATATAAAATCACAGCTCGAAAATGACAAACATTAAGTTGACTCTACTCAAATGAAGTTGAATTTCATTCAGCTTAAGAAAGAAATGATTGAAAAAATCAAGTCGCCTTTAATCAAACTCCGAACTTTAATTGTAAAGCTTTCAACTGAATTTCAAAGAATGCATTCATCCAATAAACTCAAATTCTCAAAAATAACAAAAGTCAACCACAATCTAACCACAAAATTTCATTTTCATTTCTCCATAGGACACCAAAAAGACTGAAAAGAGAGAAAAGAAAAATACAAAAAGGAAGTAAAAACTTCAATTGTGTCAAGACAAAGGAAAACTTAAAGCCGGACATAAAAATCTATAGGATTCACATAAAGGAGATAAAAAATCGCAATAAAAAATATATAGATTGTGTTAAATTCAAAAAATAATAAAAAAGAGCACGGAGAGTTAGAAGAAGAGAAAGTGAAGTTTAAAGCTACAAGTTCAGTTTATGTGTACATAAAAAATTATTATTATTAGTACAATAATAGTTTAAAAAAAGATGCAATACAAAGTTTTGTGAATCGAAAGTCAATAGAAGATCAAAAAACCTGAAGGTAGTGAGAATTGTGAGGCATTTTAATTGCAGATTTAAGTGAAAAGATCAGCAAGCACTTCGTGTGAATTCAACAGCATTATTGAGCTTCCTCAACACAACAACAACAACAGAGAAATGTTAAGAAGCCGAAAGAAAATTCAATTTTTATGTTAAAAAAAGTCTTTGTGCTGTGAAAATAAAAGTTAAATATATAAAGGAACGGAAGCAAGATAAATATTCAGTTAAGAGACAAGACAGAAGTTTTGCAATGTTAGGTCGTAACAAATGGAAATTCTTTACATTTATAACATTCATTGGTGTCACAATCGGAGCTCATACAGAGGTGGCATTGGCTCAGACAAAGGCACTCATTAATCCCGAAGTTCCATCATTCACAAATGATAAGTTAGGTATAACAATAGAAAGTCTTAATAGTGTTAATCAGCTACAACAACAATTATCTAGTCGACGTCGTCAATTGCGTAATTTAGTGCCGCCGTACCAAGAATTCTCAAGTCGTGATGAGGTTCAATTTATAGACAGCAGGACACGAAATAGTCGGAATCTTCCTGGCACTTTTGGGTCATTCAGATACAATGGAAATAATTTGAGTCTTAAAACTTCATCGCCATCTCCATTCCGTCGCTCGGATGAGTATGATGACACAATTGGAACATATCCAGCATCACAAATTGCTTACGATTTAAATTACGATTTTGATGATGATTATGGCGAGAATGTCACACTTCCAACAACCACAACGTTACCGCCATTGGCCGTGACTGATAGCTACAATAGATTTCGTCATAAAATTATTCCAATTTCATTTAAACAAGAAAATATTGTATTAAAAGACTTAACAGACAATGAAAGTAATACGGAAGGTCATGAGCGTCACAATGCCACATCAAGTACAGTCAAATTTGAGGACGAATACGATAATGCTGATAATAATAATACTGAAAATGATAGTGACGAGAGAAAGGGCAAGAAGATTGACAATAATGATGACGAAAATTCCGATAAGATCAGATTTCCAGATGAATCGAAAGAGCAACAACCACAATCTGAAGCATTAACAGCTCGACGATCAGGAATTTATTTTTCTGAGAATGAAGGAGAAATTAATCGACATCGTCGACCTCAACCACAACTGTTTAATCCTTTCGTACCGCTTAGTTACAGCGAAGAGTCATTGAACTTTGGCGATGCAATTTCCAATCTTCAGAGACCGTATCATAGCGACGAAATCGATCGTGGATCAACAAGTAGTGGAATTGAAAATGAAAATGATCGTAGTGCAAATGGAAATCGATATTATTTGCCGTTTATGGCACCAGCACCATTCCGTGATGATCATGTGACGAAATTCGGTGATACTAATGGACCTGTTACAGCTTTTAATCGACAGGTTCGTGACTACACAGATCAAGTTGTCTTTTATCCTCGTACACAATATGAAAGTACAGCAAGTGGATCGAGTCAATTTTATGGTGAGCAGGACAGTCAACAACGTCCATCACGTGCTCACTTCTTTCCACCGAAAGTCTATACAGAATATCCAGATTATCCATTGCCGCAACAGCAGCAGCAATCAGGACAAATTAATTCAAAATATTATCAACAGCCAGCAGCAGCCGTTGCTACAACTGCGCAAACATATAATTGGAAGACACGACAACCTCGCGTTATATTTCCAGCACCTGATTTTGGCCCCGGAACAACATATGTCGGTAATGACAATGTTGTCTTTAGGTGAGCGCCCGTCGTGAAAGTATTTTTCATTTCTCTTCGGAGATGTGGAAGGCTGGCAAGAGTCTGTCTAGACATAACTGATACGATATCAATTGTTAATAATCTTATAGGGATCAAAATTTTGGAATTAATGATTTAGTCGCCATTAAAGATGTCCGTAATGAATTTGAAAACGATGATTCGACGCCTGTTGCAAAAGATAAAGGTAGGATTAAAAAACTTTTTACTTCCATACTTTTTATTTTGTGATTGACATTTTTTGATTTATCTGCTGTAGCTGTTATTATAAATGATGACAGTGTGAACGAAAATTTCCATAATTTATTAATCGATCAAACTCGTCTCATTTTTACATTTTTAATGCTTTATAAAATTTTACTTCCGTTTTAACAGACCTTGACCTTAATATGTTGCTTTCTTCCATCCTCATTTATATTTCTTTGTGTCTATTTTGTTTTTGTTATGGAATTCTGACATCTTTTTGTACTTGACAGTTTAGTTTTGTGTTTGATTATTGAATCTACTAGCTAGGTGCTTAGCCAGAAATTTTTTAAGGTTGGGGGGAGGTTTTGGAAATAATAATTCAGGGCAGGGGAATTTTTTTATCCAAAACTTGCTAGTTTTTTCCCAAATATGAAGGGCGTTTGACCCTGAAATCCTCCCTTGCTACATACCAGCTACTAGCTAGTCTAGGATATGTAAGGAACATGATATGGTCCAAAGAAACAATCAGCTTTGAGTTGGAACTCTATTAAAGTGAAAGAGAACTTACATTTGTGGCAATTCCATTTTCTGAGCCTTCAAGCAATAATTCCACTGCAAAAAGTTTTATGTATCAAGTTATATATATATAAAACAAGCTTCAAGAATGTACATGACAACTTCAAATGTCATGTATATCCAGAATTCAACCACAAGTTCCCAACTACAGCATAACCTTTTAATTCTACATTAAAAATTTTGCCTCAAAGGCTGAAAACTTCATAAAAATAATCATTTATTTTTTCTCTGTAAATGTCTTTGCTTTCTTTGTATGTCAAGGCACAACAAGACATTGTTAAAACATGAGTAAATCACCTGAAGCACATTCAAGATTTTTTTTTTTTGGAGAAATTTAAGAATGTCTTTTCATGATTTCTATTGATTCATGGTTTTGCATCAAAATGCCCTTTAAAAATTGCGAGCAAATGGAAAGAGTGGAAATTCCACAACTAGGACCATAAAATCGAATGATCTTGATTCCATACCATTGATTCAGATTAAACGTGCAGTTAATTAAACCTTTTAAAGCCCTGAGCACTAAGAGCTTCTGCTTAAAACACTAATGAAAGCACTGCCATCATTATAAACTTTAAAAATGATTCATTTTGGAAATTCCAATGACAACCTTCCCTCCAGTCCCAAAATCACGAAATGCAATTCCTTGAGCATGTTGTCATCACTTGTAAATTAATATTTCATAAAAAGCCAAAACTTCATTAAATCGATTATAAAATCGGTCGAAAGACGAGAAAAAGAAAAAGGCAAAATCAAAACAATGGACGCAAAAAAAAAGAGCCGAAAGAAGAAGAAGAAAGAAAAACAATAACATAACAGAGAAAGTGAAATTAACTCACCTTCAGTCACAGCTCATGTAATGTGGATAAATAAAACTCATTTTTTGTGTGTCTTGCCTGCTTTTTTTTCTAACACTTAACATACTTAAGTGTGTATGGTCATACGAAAGAGAAATGAAGAAATTGAGGCAAGAAGAAGGCTCGAAAAATAAATTATCACGTATGAGTCCGTTGTGTATGTTTTTGGAATACATAACAAGTGAAAAGACATGAATGATGAAGAAGAAGACGGCGACGAGAAGAAATAATCGATTTTCATTGAAAATTATCAAATATGTGTTGCGTAATAAATTTTTTTACGTCAATGATTTACTTTCCAAAAATAAGACGGCTGAATGAAATTAAGATAATATTATGAGAGGCGCAACTTGAGGCGAAATTTTATAGATTTTTGGATTCATTTATGCGGCAATTGGGAAATGCTAAAATAGGAACTTTTAGAAGATCTGTTTAATATTTGACTTTTATTGGGTACTCAGGAAGAATTTTCATGGGTCTAGACGACTCTGGGAGTCCGAACATCACTTTTTTGGAAGTTCGATTCCACTGGAGTCTGATGTTGACTTAAACTATAGTTTAGTCAGTAGCTCAGAACCTTAGAGGTTGATTTTAGAGTAAGTACAATAGAAGAGTGACTAGAGTTCAATTTGAATCTCTTATATAACCAATAGATGCCTCTGGATTTTCGGGCTACGGTTCATGACATCTTCTATTTGCTACGTCATTAAAGGATGGTTGAAAAGCAGGTCTTATCTCATGTTAACCAAACTAGTGTACTCTAGAATCAATCTATGACTAGACTAATCCTAGCTTATGTTGTAAAATAGCATAGTAATGACTTTCAATCGGGCTCGAAGTCGATAAAATTTGGTTTGGAGCTCTGCTTTTAATGCTAATTTTAAATAACTGTCATATGCTGGCTGCAAGTTCCCATCAAGTTAATCAACTTTTACTTAAATTTGGCTTCTGATAAGCAATTCTTAATCTTAAAACTGTCAAGGTACAAAAGATTTAACTTCCAATCAATAATAAATCTCCGTTGTTGACGAATGACTACTTTTATGCTGCTTTAATAAGTTGGATCTTTAATTTTCAATATCATCTGTGTATAAGATTCATAACTATTGATTTAGGTTAAAGTAAAGGACTCAAAGTTGACAAAATAAAACCAAAAATGACCTAGTTTGACCAAATGTGACCAGAGTTGGACATGACGAGACAAAAGAGCCAGGAACAGGCAATATACCAAATGTTCAGACGTACCAGAGAGTGAATATGGTAGACATTGCAAATTTCCTGCCAAAAAATATCCATTTGATAATTTTTAAAACATAATTCTCCAAAACCAGACATAATAGTGACTTTTTCCAAATATTACTCGTCCATAAAAACTTCCACCAAACTCATTAACAGTCCACAAACTAAATCAAATCCACTAATCAAATATTCCATCCGCATATTCGACCCATTAATTTTTTTATTTTTCATTTTTTTCAATTATTGTATTCAAAATATTCATTAAATTAAAAAACAAAAAAATAAAAAAATAAAGTCGGTTCCGATACTTTCGGTCGTACACCACGTTCAGAAATGGAATGTCAACATGAGGGTGGGACATGTGAATTTTTTGTATTATGTTGGATGACAGGAGGTTTATTGCAAGGTTCATGCAATGGCATGTTACAAGGTTGTTGTCATCGTACGGCAAAATCATCAAATTTAGGCCCGGAAGCAGGAAAAACATTTGACTTAACAGATCTTCCATCGACTGATTTTGGACCCGTTGTTAGTGACAATAGTGAGTGTATAAAAAAAATAATAATTTTATTCATTTATTTTTGTAAAGATTATTGTGAGTGCTTTTAACATAATTTTATTAATGCTTTATTTTTAATTGGAATCAGCTGTATTAATCCGTTGGACTTGTAAATGTGGAAATTATTGCCATCATTTTGGAATATCATTCTAATTATCTCTTCATTACCTCATTTCTTGGGAGCATGCGACATATTAAGGAATTATTTGTTTAATATTTTATTTGTGCCATAATATTAAGCAACTCAGCTGATAGGCAACTCCATAAGTTATATGTAATTTATTTAAAGAATTTGAATTGAAATTGACATCCCATCCGCATTTCAAATCATCATCTACTTCCAATACAATGTAGCACAGACGAAATAATAAGAATAAGAAAAATATCCCTATGGCACCAGACTTGACGTTCAATATTTGAATAGGATAATCAAGTTACTTACCTTTTATCCATTTCCATCATGAAGCAAAAGTTAAATTGTGCTGTGAAAAATTTCTCTTAAATTGAAGGAAGTAAAACATTAAAAGTTCTTGCATGTTAAAAGGGTCTTGACCCATCCACATGTTTTACAACTTTTTCATCTCATTCTCATTCAACATGAAACTTTTACAGAAATAAGTAACATTGTAATGCACTGATGGTGTGTAAATTAATGTTGTATGACACAGAAGCAGACGTGTTGGATAATTAATGTGTGGCAGAAACAATAGAGAGTAAAAGTTGTGACAAAGCTAATGAAACATTTTTGTTTATTTTAATAATAATGAAGATCTGAATGGATGATTGTCTGGGGAGACAAAAGTTTTGAGGTTTGGTTGTTCATTTTTGAGACTACTGCTTTATAATTGTGAAGAATTTCTGCTGCTATTTAAGTTATAAATTGCTTAAAAGGTACATTATCCTTCTGGAAGCAATTCTTGGTATTTATCCAGGCGGTTAAGCCCAAAACTCTAACTTGACTCTCATGGCTAAGCCACTTTAACTTAGAATAGTTGTTTTACACATTGAATAGGGTTGGGCAGAATCGTATTCGAATATATTTGAATATAATGTGCGCACATAAATGTGCGCATATATTCGAATATATATTCGAATATGCATAATTCAAAAAATAACCGTTATTAATCGTGATTTTTTTTTAATAAATGTTTAACAATTAATTAAATAACTTACAACTAAAATATCGATGTAGTTGGCTAAAGAAAGTACTTCCATTGCTTTTCCATTAAAATTAGATCTATTTTAGTAATTGTTTAACATGATTTTATCAATTGAAAAAATTTGATATCAAAGAATATTTGAAAACGCCTTTTAAAAAATTTTAACGGTCAATTAACATTTGAAAATTTTCCCGCTAAAAGTTGCACTACGAAAACATTAGTTATAGTATAATTACATAATTTGTTCCAATGAATTTCCATATAGAAAAAGTTTTTCATTTAACGGTCTTTTGAGATTCAAATTTTCTAACAGTCAGTAAGTTTTTGAAAGCTTTTCGCCAAAGGATACACAAAAAATCATTAATTATAGCATATTTAACAATTTAATATCTTTAATTCTCATATATGAATTGTTTATCATTTACAAATTACAGGCAAGTTGAAAAATGCTAATCAACAAATAACGTATTTTTTCATTTTTGAATTTCTAATATTCGAATATATATTCGAATATATTCGAATATTTTTTTGTTCATATTCGAATATATTCGAATATATTCGAATATTTGCCCAACCCTAACATTGAATCGCGTTGCATTCAAGTTTAAATGCT